GCCCCCGCGCCCCTGCCCGCCCCGCTCGCAGCTGCACGCCGCAGCTGCTGCCTGGCTCGCGCTGGCTGCCGCCCAAGAGCCCCGCCTCTGCCTGCGCCGCCGCCTCGAGCCCCCTGCCCCCTGCACCGCTCGCGCCCACCTGTCTTCCCCCCATCAGGCGCTCGCCGCGCGTGCCCTGAATGCGCACCTGACCAAATGGCTCGACCAAATCGAGGCCGAGCAGGCCTTTTTTGGAGCAGCAGCCGGCCGCGCGCCGCAGCCGCTGGCGTCGGCACCCCGGCCGGTGCCGGCGGCGGCGCTCGCCGTCTGCAGAGCTGCGGGTGGCGTCGTCGGCTGCGGCAGCAGCGACGGCGGCGGCAGCAGCAGCAGCAGCAGCAGTGGGAGCAGCAGCAGCAGCGGGGAAGCGGGCGCGGCGGCCGCGGCGGGCAGCGGCAGCTTCGGCGGCGCCGGAAGCTGGTCGGAAGCTGGTGCGGTAACAACTGAGGGGGGCTGCGAGGACGACGACGATGATGACTGCTGCGGCATCTGCCTCGATCTGGCGCCCGCGCTGCGGCTGGCGCCCTGCGGCCACTGCATGTGCGCGCCCTGCGCGCGCGGCGTGCTGCGGGTGGCGAAGGGCGGGGCGCCGCGCTGCCCCTTCTGCCGGGGCGCGATCGGGGCCCTGTCGGCCGCGCCGCCGCCGCCGCCGCCGGCGACGGCGGCGGGTGCAGCGCCGGCGTCCGCACCGTGAGGCTGGTTGCGCGCGGTGCAGTTCTTTCTTGCAGTGCGCAACACGCGCCAGGGCGCGGCTTCGGGTCTGTGGTCGTTGGAGCGTTTACCCTTATGAATGGGATTCCTTTACGAACAGCGAGGGAAGCTGCGTCAGCGGCTTGGGGCGGCGCCGGGCTGCCCACAAAAGAGCGCTTTCATCTGACATCCAGGGATCTACGCGCCGGCTTTCGCTGCCGCCGCCCCCACTGGGTAGCTGACTGGAAGCTTGGGCTGTTTCAGCTGGTCGGGGGCGCTGCGGCGAGCAGGCCTTGAGGGATGGTCTTTCTTTTCTTCCCTGCAACGGCCGCGAGGGCCGGCCGGGAGTTTGCAGGCTGTGCGGGGCCGGGATCAGGACACTTGGATGTATTGGGCGGGCGGGCTTGCATTGTGGATCCATTTCGGGGCGCCGCGGGTTCGTTGCGGGCGCACCAATTTCGTACGCGGGGGCTCCTTGGCCGGGCGCCCCCCGGTCTGCTGCACGTTTGGCCCGGTGGTAGGCGGCGGCTGCGGAGCCCCCCACATGCTGCCGCCCCGCACGGGCCCAGCACTCAATGAACCTTGGCAGGAGCCTGTCGCCCCCTGGCAACCCGGCGCCAACTCAAACGGATGGGTATGGATGCACGCCGGTCGGCACATCGAGCGCGGGGTGCATCGGTTTTTGGGCTGGGGCCCGCTGGAGTTTGATTCTGCACATGCACATGCTGCAACCCTCTTGCACTCTGCCGGCTGCAGCGGGGCCGCCAGCCTCGGCCTGCGTAAGCATCAAACGCATGCACGCATTCGCGCCCGCACCGGCGCAACAGGGCTGGAGCCGCACCATCATTTGTGCCGGCCTGCCCCTCGGCCGTCACTTGCACTGGCCTGGAGCAATTTTTTGCTCAATCCACCACCCCTGCCAAAGGTTTGACCATTGTGAGCTGGTTTGACCACTGTTTTACCTCGGTTTGACCGGCGCCCGCGCGCATCCACACCCCCGCCATGGTCGCGACGCACTGTGTCACCCGTCTCCCGCCGCGCCCTCGCTTGGCTGTCAGTGAGGACTGCTCCATGCACCCCACCCCACCGCATATCATGTGTTGTAGTGCGACCCGCCCGGCAAGCCGCCCAATGCGCGACGCCCCAGGCGCCCGCACCGCGTCGCTGCACGTCACCGCCTGAATTGCCACGTTGTTGGGCGCCAACCCCGCTGTCCGCGCGCAGGCCCCATCTATCCTGCTCGTGGACCTGCATGCATCACGCCACTATTTTTCGACCCCAACCCGACCTGCAGCGAGGCGACATTAGCATGGTGCGCTGTATTGGGCGCGAGCTGCTGCTTTGTGTCGGTCAACCCGCTGCTGCAGGCGCTCAGCGACCTTGCGGATGGCGTCGGGTGTACGGCAGCCCTCTCAGTTTGCAGCCGGCGCCGAAAAATCGCCAGCACCGCCGCGGGCAGCAGGCAACGCAGCCGCACGGACGCAGCCCCGTCCGTTTCGGCAGCTCGCTTCATCCCACTCCTCCAGGTTGGCGCGACCGCCCTCAGCGGCGACGCACGCGCGAGCCCCCAGCGCGCGCGCGCGCATACTGCAAACGGCTTTGTAGGCAGCGCGTCCCAACCCGCTCACCCCCTGTTTGCCTCAGGCGTACCAGCTCCGCCTCTGTGGTCCTGCGGCCCCAGCTGTCTGTGGCGTGGCCCGCCGCGCGGGGTTCCCGACGCGCACAAACGGCCTCGTCTGCGGCGCATTGCCGCCTCCATCTTTAAGCACATGCGTGCTTTGGCTGCCGCAAGTGATTCGACCGCACCCCACTCTGCGCGGCTGCCGCCACCATCTCCCGCCCTCTGCCGGCCGGGCGCCGCGCCGACCGGCGTCCTGCTCTTCGTCCGCGGCGCGCGGTGTATTTTATGTTTGGTCAGCGGAGCCCCCGCGCAGCCACGCCGCCTGGGATGCCCTGCTCGATAGCAATACTTGCGGCCCCGCCGCGACCCGCATGACCACGCACATTCGCACACATGCCAGGACGCTGTTGATCACTTGCTTGCAGAGCGCGTTTCGCCCCGTTGATGCATTCCCGCCGCTGACGCGTCACTGCTCAGCACTGGCTGGGGACTGCATCCGTTTCGAATTTCAAGGCGGTGATGCATCTTATATATATACACCGTTTGCCTCCCCGCATGTTTGCTTTTCTCAGAGCGAGAAGCCGCTCTCTCGCCGCCCACGCGCCCTGCGGCGCGCTGCTGCTGCTTGTAACCACCCCGCCACACACAGGCTTTGGCGACACCATGGCGTTGGTTTGGGAATGCCCTGGGCGCGCCCGGGTGCCGCTGCACGCCCGTATCGTTTATAAACAGTGTGCGTTGCAGTGTGGGCAGGACGCAGCGTCAGGACAGGTGCTTGCTTTTGCGCACCACACACGTCGCTTGGCCCTACAGTAACACCCGAAAAGCTTACAGCACACCATACAGGAGGACCGAGCCATCTACATACACTGCAACACATCACACCAAAGGGGCTGCTGAGCCGCTGCCGCAAGCCCCTGTCTCCTCAGCTGTGGGGGGAGGCAGAAAGCAGCAGCAGCAGCAGCAGCAGCAGGAGGCGCAGCGGCAGCTACTGCCAGCCCTCTGACGGCCCGGGGCGCTCCGCTGAGTAGCGCCGCTGCTGCCTGCTCGCCACAAACGCGTCCTGTGAATTCAAAGGAAGCAGTGATGAGACGAATAAGGGCGTCAATGACTTGCTGGTAATCTTGCCGACCTGTGCACCTCGCCGGTTGTGCGCACCGGCCTTCCCCTCAGACTGGTCGGCGCCCGCACCTCCAGCGACGCAGCTGCTGTACGGTGCGCCCACGCATGCCGACTCGCATGAGTCGCCACAATGCTCCTGCAGCACCCAACACACATGGCGCCGCTGTTCTGCGCATGTTCTCCGCAATGTGCTGCTGCATGCATGCAGCCGCAAGTTAAGAGGTATCACACAGGGGTCATCGCACCACGATGCTCCTGTCAACAGCCTCCGGTGCCAGCTGGTTGGGCAGCCTGCACGCGCAGTAGCAATCGCCTGCCGATTCAGATCGGGCCGGGACGGGCGGCCGAGCGCACACACGCGGGTGGCGAGGCACGGCCGCGCGCCGCCGGGTGGCCACGGCCCGCCGAGATTGCCAGCTTGCTCGCTGTGCGAAACGCTGCTGTGGCCGCTGCCCAGGGCCGACTGCAAAACGCAGCAACCAAGTCGCGTGCGCCCGTTTCGGCTGGCCGAGGTTGTCATCGCCCGGCACCCCGCTCACTTGTTGAAGCAGCAGTCGAGGCTAATGAGTCCGAGAATGAGTACCGCGCCCGCGGCCGCGATCGCGCCGCCCACCAGCGCTACCTGTCCAGGTGCCGCGCATGAGGGCATCCCCAGAGGCAGCGGGAGCGATGGGGCTGGCGCTTGGGTGACTGATGCAACCCGGCATGCGGAGCACAATTGCAGGGTTTTGCCTTTGCTCTGAAAGCAAAACCGGAATTCTCCCCATTCATTGAGCGTCTGCCCCTGTTGCTGGCGCAGCGCAGAGTGATGTGACGCAGATCTCTAGAGCTGTGGCCATGTGCTGCTGCCACCAGCGCAGCATAAGGGCAAGAAAAGGGCAGGCAGCTGCAGGATACCGTCCGGCCCGATGCTGCAGAAGCCGCCGTTCCCGGCTGCGACTGCACCACACCAAGCAAGCAGCGACAACGCTGCCGTGGCAGGCGGCGCGCGGGGCAGCTTCCCACCAGCTTCATGTTGGAGGCGATGAAGGTGGCCGGGGAGGCCGCTGAGGCCATGTCCACCAACTGCATCTGCGCTGCAGAGGCATAACAATGTACACAGCAGCAGTGATGGAGCATGAGTTGGGGTCGGATCTGGCAAAGTGCTTGCCGCACGGCCGCATCCGCCGCAGATGCAGGCGCAACGCAGCAGCGCAGCATGCACACAATGCGCAGCGGCGTGGCGCCGGTGTCAAGACACCTGATGCCAGTGAAGCTGCCAACAGCCACGTTAGGACCCATAATCGTGTTGTTTTCTGCATCGCCGACGCTGCTGCAAGCTTCGACCACCCGTTGACCGATCTAGGAGCGCCCAGATGGCAGTGTAGTTGTGCAAGTCTTTTTGTTTGAAAGTCGCTGGGTCTAGATCCGCGGGGTTGAGAATGTGGGAATTGAGCCTTGATCTCGCGCAACCAAAAGTGCGTCGGCTTCACGGTAAAAAAAAACAACAACAAGACCAATGTCGTTGATGTTCTGCATGCCATCGTGGTGGCACACTGGTCTCGGGCGTTGGGTCAACTCGCGCTGACTGGGCTTTAGGTACGCAGCGCTGCTTGGCGGGCGGCCGCTGGCATTGCACTTCATTTTGGGCTGGTGCTTGTGCCCCAAAACCTGAGAATCTCACCTTGCACACAAAAAGCCATTACAAGGAGGCGAGGCACTGCCCTTGCGGTTGCACCGAAATGCGTAGGACATGACGACCCCGCGCCCTGGGAATGCACAGAATAGTGCAGCCCAGCAACACCACAGGTCCCCATCCCGGAGAGCGTGGGCGGCGCCAAGCGAGCACACAACGCCGCCGCTTCACATCTCCACGCGCGCGGCGAAGGACGCGGCAAGAGCGCACCCACCAGCATCGTCATAGGGTGCGTGCCACCACAATACGAAATGTGGTGTCACCGCCGCCTTGGTACGCACGCAGTAATGTGCGGCCGCAGAACAAGGTGATGCTCGACAAGCACATGACCAAACTCAGCTCCCGGCCGGCGCTGGTGGCGCCGCAGCTGTCGTTGCCGCCGCCGCCGCCGCCGCCGCGCCCGGCCGTGCGGCTATGATGTAGGTAGTCCCAAAGTGCCACCGCCAGGACCAATCCACGTCGAGGCCCGCCTGTCGCGGCGCGTCGGCGTTTGACTGAAGTCAAAGCAGGTCAACACCACGAGTAGGAGCCGCTTTCGAGGTCGATGCAGGCCCCACGTGAGACTATACTTGACCAAGTTCAACGG